GACTCTTAGTTCACAGACACTGGTATTAATGTATAGGGGTATCTGTTCAGTCGACTGGCGTTATGACTCTTAGTTCACAGACACTGGTAGTAATATATAGGGGTATCTATTCAGTCGACTGGCGTTATGACTCTTAGTTCACAGACACTGGTATTAATATATATAGGGGTATCTGTTCAGTCGACTGGCTACGTTTGGAGCGTGTATCCTGATTTTTGTGTAATAATATTCAAACTCAAAAGTTTGACATATTGCTTCAAGTATCCTATAGTTTAATTATATGTCATCATAAATATTTTGTATTGTATAAAATTATTTTACGTTAATCTGTATTAAACGGGTCTGCACATTTAAAGCTTGATTTATACATGTGCATGTTCATTTGTAGTAATGGTTTAAATATGATAAACACTTAATACAAAAGTTTGACATATTGCTTCAAGTATCCTATAGTTTAATTATATGTCATCATAAATATTTTGTATTATATAAAATTATTTTACGTTAATCTGTATTAAACGGGTCTGCACATTTAAAGCTTAATTTATACATGTGCATGTTCATTTGTAGTAATGGTTTAAATATGATAAACACTTAATACAAAAGTTTGGACAAATGTTTTGTATAATTCAAATAATATTGTTTTAAACAAGACAGATTCTGTCTTTTCATAATCTTTTGACATTTCGTTTATATATTTTCAAATACAGCATTGTCAATTTTCAAATCTATAATTTGAACTAAAGTTTACTGCTCACCCGTAGGTGATTAAAAACTTTTCTTGTTTCTTATATTGTTTAAAATAATATTCATATACATGTCGGACAATTGAACTTATTTAAGTACGATAGCTGCCCCCAGTAGCACAGCGGTATGTCTGCGGACTTACAACGCTAGAATCCGGGTTTCGATACCCGTGATGGGCAGAGCACAGATAGCCCATTGTGTAGCATTGTGCTTAATTACAAACAAACAAATAAGTACGACAGCTATATTCCTATATTCATTTCTACTAAAGTAGAATGTATTGCGAACCCATGCAAAATAACACAAATTAAAAAACTAATGATTAAAAGGTTTAGTACATTTTATTGAGATTAATTTGGAGCCTCACCACGTTGTTACAGTCTGTGTCGTCACGTCCAGTCATGCTCTATCTAACAATTGTACATTTTCACAATACACTTGCAAAGTAGTTTAAATTTCAAAATGCTCCGTCGTAAGGCTGCCATGTCCAAATCAGACAACTCTTTCCTGCAGGATTTTCATAATCCATGTATTGTATGAGGACACTGATTCGCAATGCCTGTTTCAAGAGTCTGGTCACAAAGAAATCCATAGGTATGAGCGTTTTTGCGCTTTTTACCACTACTTCGCCCCCCCCCTGTGCATGGATATTTAACAAATTTGGTGTGAAGGTTCATTGGGTCCATACAGAGATATAAACAAATTTGCGTTTTCACATTTTGTGTTTTGCCATTTTTATGAGCGTTATTTTAAATTACTTATAAGGGAAGCAACTTTTGATGTTCTAACATAACCTTTCATTAGTCATGACTTACTTAACTTTTGTCCAGGGAACGGGTAATCCAGCTAGTTTTAAACAATAACTTTTAAAGCATAAATACCCCTTTCATTCTCCAACTGCTTCAGGTATGCAACCGTTGACGGATATGTTGTGAAAACAACTTAGGTATATGTAACTTGTGTTACTTTTCCTGAAAGAAATCCCCTCTGAGTTTGTTGCATACTACTGCCTAGGGCACATAGACTTTTTTTTTTTCACCAACCTTTGTGTTTGTAGAATCTTACCTGCTACATGATGTCGCACTTTGCTTACTATGGCTGGTTTTCTTTCTGGGTGATCCTAGTTCCCAAGTTGATCCGTTTTCGTTTGTTTTACTATATCTTTAAGTCCTGGAAATTCTATATCCTTAATCTGAATACATCTTTATTATCTGA